AGTGGCTTTATTTGTCTTGAAATAAATGCTTGAGAATTCGGAACAGAATGTTTAATTTCAAGATGCAAATGCCATGTGAAAGGACTTGTTTGTACTGGCGCTTGTATATGGACAATCCGAATGTAATAATTCAAACTCGAGATGAATAAGGGCACTTAGAATAATACGAATTTCTATGCAGTTGTTTATATTGTTTTCTCTATATAATGAATAATTTAGGTAATCTCTAAAATGATTGAAGATTTCCTTCGAGTAAGACCGAAGTTTTGTTCGTGATATGGCAAAGTGTAACTATGTTGAAATGGTCGTATGAAACCGAAAAACAGAACAAATAATAAACACTTGTCACACTTTGTTATTTAATTATCATTGTTTATAATATCTGTTGATTTTTGATTTACAGCAACTCTTCCTACAAGAACAATGCTAGACAAGTCATTTTATAAGAACTACAACAACTTTATTTTTACCATATGTTGACACTGACAATATACAAAGTACATTTGGAAATCCTTGGCTAGGTATGTATCAATAATCTGTGCTGTGGCATGCATCGTAGCAATCTGATTCTGCATGTACAGATGATGTAGTAAAGTTTCATTAAGGTAGAGATGCAGGTTCGTGGGCACTTGGGAGTGTAATTCTATTTTTATTTTGCTTTTTATCATCCAAACAGTCTTGGCTATAGGTATTGTAAATAGTGGAACATACTCAAAAAACGATTTTAAAATATAGATGACAGGTGCAAACACTCTCTCTTTTGAATGCTTAGCAAGATTTAGTAAGGTTGTACATAAATTATAAAAAAGAAACATGGTGAAAAAAGAAATGACGGAATCTCCATATTATGCACTATATTTAACTTTTTAGAAAACGATAATACATTTAAATTTGGAACTGTTACAACTATTTTAATTTTGAGCATAAGCAAACTTCTTACTAAGTGAATTGTTATGCAAATTAGCAATTATATCAGTTTCTTTTCAGTGCACATTCCAGAACTTTAAAAAAATAGCTCCTAGACGCTTTGACCTTTTGTTTTAAAATTTTCACAAATGATTGACAATGTGTTTATCTTCAAAACGCCCTCGGGGCATTGTTTTTGGTTGAACAGTGTCACAACAATCGTACATACAACTAGCCTGGGTGTTAATGTATACATAAACTTGAAGTAGTGATATTTAAGCTGCTGCCCTGCAAAATTGACAACTGGTAGACAGTTTTCAA